GTGAAGCATATAGGCCTGCACACCTATATATATATAGGTAAGTTTTGGAATGAGAATCATTCCAACTTCTGAGATCCTACACCCCTCAGTCTCTTTCAAGTACCATTTCTATAGTGATGATTCCCTCATCTGTATCTCTAGCCCTAACTTCTCTTATGAGCTTCAGAACTGTATTTCTAACTACGAACCAGACATTCCTGTCTAGAAACTCCACACACATTTCAAATTGTACCAGGTCAAACTGTAACATTCCAGTATGTTTGTACATTCCAGGCACTCACAATATACTTTCAAACCAATATTCCCTCTCCACTGTTATTTTATTTTCCAGACCCAGCTCTAGTATTGAATCTTCTAGGAGCTCCTCATGTCCTTTCTAGCAGAATTCATTCTTATTCTTCCCATTTTATCATTGTACTTAGTAAATATCCTTAATACTCTAGCTTTTCTTGTCATTAGTGAATTTTTACAGCTAGTAAATCAGGTTATCTTTCACCTCAGCTATATCATCAACCTTTATGGCAGATGTCCTGTTTAGTTGTTGCTCTCATTTTTGTGTCTGAATGGATTACTTTGAAAACACTCAGATAAAATGGTGTATTTGGAAGTAAACTGTTTCAGTAGGTCTGAGTTGAGACTTGAGGGTCATGGCAACTTCCTGTAAACACACTTTCCTTTAATGATGCCACCCTCCAATGCTCAATGGTTCTGGGTTTGCAGCCGGCCAAGAAGGGGAAATACTTTCAGGCAACCCTTTTCAGCAGTTCTTAAACTAGCATCCCTTAAACACCTACGGATTATGTGGGCTTTCTTTCACTTAAGTGGGAGGAGGAAATGGCAACCCACTCCAGTATTCTTGCCTAGAGAATCCTGTGTACAGAGGAGCCTGGTGGGCTGCTGTCCACAGGGTCGCATAGAGTCAGACACGACTGAAGCGACTTAGCACGCATGCATGCACTGGAGAAAGAAATGGCAACCCAAACCCACTCCGGTGTTTTTGTCTGGAGAATCCCAGGGATGGAGGAACCTGGTGGGCTGCCGTCTATGGGGTCGCACAGTCGGACATGACTGAAGTGACTTAGCAGCAGCAGCTGTCACTTAAGTACATGCTGTTCTCACTGAACTGCATCTATATGAGCAGCTCATATAGTGACATGTTTAATACAGTTGGGTTACCCAAGACTTGCAGAGATTAGGAAGCTGTCAGTAAAACATCCGGGGAGCGGAGGGGCGGGGGTGGCTTTGTGAATTGCTTTCTAATATCACTCTAAATTAGCAATTAATGGGAAAATTTTGACAACTTGTTCATCACGCAGTACAGTCAGATAAAAAATCAACCTCCAGAGAATTTGATTTTGTTTATCATTTAAGCTACAGTGTATTTAACAGATGAATTTTTTCCAGAGTAGTTATCTCAATTTATTTCAGTGGATATCCTTGATTAGTAAATGATCTCTTTTAAATAAAATTTAGAAATGATCTCATCTAGAGAGTAAAGGGGAGGAACACATATTTCTGAGTTGGCAACAAGCTTGGGGAGGAACATGTAGTTAGGGATAAATGGAATTAACCTTTTTTATGCCTTGTTATAAGTTAGCTAATGTTTTCCAGGCAACAGTGATAGGTAATTTGTACTTACAGCCATGTACTCCCTTGTTTTAAGTGAACTGTATGTATGTTTCTTGAAATGCTGGCATGGTTACTTTTTCAATTATTTCACCCTCATAGGTTACACAGTTAAGTGTACTCCTATAAATTGCATTTACCCAGAACTAGAAAATATTTCAAAATAATTAAACTTCTACTAATATAAATACCGAGTTAGGCTATCTAGTTAAGATATCTAGTTTTTTAAGGACTAGCCATATGATCTGACATGAAGGAGATAACACCCTAAATCATGAGAACACTGAGTGAGTCAGTGATGAAGTTAAGGGCTAAGCAAGAGGAAAAAATTGGGAGACATTCCTTCTATTTGTTTAAAATATCACCTCACATAGAAAGTGTCATTTCCTCTAAAAATGTTCTCCCAATGTCCCCAAACAATGACGAAGAACCATAACAATACCCTATAACCTACAAGAAGACAGGCAGTGAATACTTTAGTGAAGTTTTTGAGTAATATCTAAAGAAGTTTTTAGTAAATACACACACATAAAGCAAAAACAGAAACTGCCTAAAAAAAGATCTTTCAAAACTTAATTTTGTAAAAAGCGAAGTATTTTAAATAAATCTTCAAATATAAGTGTCTGCAGGTGAAAATACTCAATTCCAATGGCATCTAAAACATACATTTTCCTTTATCTTCTGGTATCACATGGAAAGCTTATGAATGGATAAGCACCATGGTCTGACCTAGAAATGGGTTAGGGCAAATGTTATGGTAAAAAAAAAAACAAAAAACAGGGGGTGGCACTTCTCTGGTAGCTCGGCTTGTAAAGAATCTGCCCGCAGTGCAGGAGACCCCGGTTGGATTCCTGGGTTGGGAAGATCCCCTGGAGAAGGGAACGCCTACCCACTCCGGTATTCTGGCCTGGAGAATTCCATGGACTATATACTCCATGGGGTCGCAGAGTCAGACACTATGGAGCGACCCTCACTTATGGTAAAAAGACAGGAAAATACAACAGGATTCCATACTATTTAACAGTCAAAATTTTATGTATTTATGCATTGAACTTTAGGTTTCTAGAGGCAAGTACATTCATTCAGTAAATATTTACTGATTGCCTATGATTTTACTAGGCATTAGTGGAGAAATGTGAGAATATAAAGACAATTATATTCTCTGCCCTTAAGACATTTACAACTGAGTTGGAGACACATAAATGCATACAAATACATTTTACTGCTATGTAACAACTATGCTAATTCCCTTCTTTGCAACCCCATGGACTTTGGCCCTCCAGGCTCCTCAGTCCATGGGATTCTTCAGGCAACAATACTGGTGTGGGTTGCCGTTTCCTTCTCCAGGGGATCTTCCCAACCCAGGGATCAAACCCGTGTCTCTTACACCTCCTGCAATGGCAAGTTAGTTCTTCACCATTAGTGTCACCTGGGAAGCTCATATAACAACTATGTGTGTGTTAGTTGCTTAGTTGTGTACGACGCTTTGCAACCCCATAGATTGTAGCCCACCAGGCCCCTCTGTCCATGGGATTCTCCAGGCAAGAACACTGGTTGCCATTTCGTTCTCCAAAAGGAACTATAGAAAGAAAGAAGGTGAAGTCGCTCAGTCGTGTCCGACTCTTTGCGACCCCATGGACTGTAGCCTACCAGGCTCCTCCATCCATGCAATTTCCCAGGCAAGAGTACAAGTGGGTTGCCATTTCCTTCCCCAATATAACAACTATACAATCCTGTTAATATAACCTCTGTAAACAAAAACTGCTTCCCACCCCCCCCCCCCGTATTTTTAAACTTACTTTTAGAATCACTCATTATATTACTCAATTGGTTCAGATTTTCAATTGAACAGCATGTTGTGGACACCAAGGGAACATCTGACTGCCGAAACATTTAAGGAAAAACAGACATGCCACAAGACTAATGCAAGATCAGCACAACCTGGCCAGTTGTGAGGAAGGGCCAGTCTCTTTTCTCACTTCCAGTATTCTCACATATGGAGAAGTACAATGTTTTCCTAACAAACCATGTTTTGTATTTGTCTATGCTCCAAAGTACTTTTCTTCAACATAATGCCATTTACTTTTTACTTTCTGGCCCATCTTGAAATAAACATCCTGTATCCTTGATAATCGCGGATTACTATATTGAGACTCATAACATCACAACAACTTTTTAACAATATTTATTCTACTTTAGATAAGAATCTTTGAAACTGACAAAATCTCAACAAATTTAACTTTACAAACTAACAATCTTTTTCAGAAGTAGGGTCTTTGCTCATTTTCCTTCTTTTCAGGTTTTTTCTATGACTTTGTTAAGCAGAATTACAAATTTTAAAGCATGTTCAAGTACAGTATTTGATATTGAAAACAGCAAAAGCAAAAAAATCCATTTCTATACCCTGGATCAGGATCAGTATACATTCTACCCAGCCTGCAATACAGTCTACATTTTCATACATGGAATCCGTTTCGAATGATGGCACTGAAACTCTGTGCAAGTACCTTAAACAACAAACATTCCAATATACTCACAAGTGTTAATACTACTAAGGCAAGAAGTGAAAAAATATATATTCCATTATCTATTTAACAAGTCAGGAAAACTTAAAGAGAAAATAGGTTTTTAGATTAATTCTGAACAGTCAATCAGCAGAACCTTTGCATTCCTAAAGTGTTCTGACCAATTGAGATTTTGGTACCAAAAAACCCAAGATTGTATGACAACCTTGTTTTCAACGTGGTTTTTAAACAGCATGTTTAGCACCAACAACTTACAAACTACAAACATGAAGATTACAATTTGCAAATGGAATGCTTCCAAAACCTGGTAATCTAGAAACTGACATGTACCTTCCCACTGGAACAACACTATAATACTATAGCCAGAATTACAGGTATTTCCAGAATACATGTACAAACTCTTATTTTAAAAAAAATACTCTCAATATACCATCTATCTGCAATGAAAAACAACCAAAACAGTATTATCATAATACTGGTAACAAAAAGTGAAAAAGAAAATATTCAGAATTGTAAAGCCATGACTGCCAAGCATTGAAATAAGAGAATACATAAATGACTCAAACAGTGAACAAAACTAAGAATCAGTCAACATTCTTTTGTATAACTCAAAACGACACTATTGGACAGGTGTATACAAGTATTAAAGCCAAATTTTGACTGACTGAAGGGTAACTCACTCTCTAGGTTGCCATCTCTCTTCGCCTAATATGCTAAGCAGAGGTAAGCTGCATCTTTTTCATCTGAAAGATAAAAGCCAGAGTCAAAAGCACAAACGCAGAGCAAAGGAGAAAAGTGGGAGCCGACTGGAAGGTAAATCTGGGCACTTTGAGGACAGGGCGGCCATCCTTAGCTCCAGAGGCCTGCGTAGTTCCCACGGAGGCCTGAAGGGAGAGGGCCGCCAGCGACGAAGAGCTTCATCTCCGGCCAGTTGTAGCAGTGAGTGTAGACCGCATTGGGCAACTCACCTAAGGCACCGAAGTAGTTCATATGCAGGTCATCTTGGCTGAGCCAGCCTCTGCCACAAATCAGCCTGAACCTCCTTCCTGTGGACCGCGGAGAGGAGTACGGGCTGACCGAGATCTTCTCCTCCAGGAACTTCTGGGCGCGGACGTCATAGAAGAGCAGAGAGCCGTGGCCGGTGCCCACGGTGATGATGTGCTCATAGAAGCTCAGGGAACGCACACCCGTGCCGCCCTCGCGGGAGCACAGGTGCCGAACGCTCTGGTGACCCTGGCGCAGATCCAGGAAAGAGACGTGGGACTGGGAGCCCACCGCATACAGGGACACCTCATTGCAGTAGGTCAGGCACACATTCTCTCGGCAGTAAGGCAGCCTAATGGACAGCAGCCTGGACAGGGTATTTCGGGCTTTCCACAGGTGGAAGTAGCCATCCATGGTCACGGCTCCCAGCTCCTGCCTCTCGGCGCTGAAGGCGACGGCACGCACCTTGCAGTTACCTGGGTTGGTTCCGGCCCTGGGGACATCCTCCACTTCAGCGGGACGGATGTGGGCATACATGGGGACCCCTGCATCGCTGTGCCAGGCGATGGTGCTCCGGAATACTTCAGGGTCTATCTTCCAGACGCCCAAGGTGCCGTCGCGGGAGCCGCTCACCACCACCGTGTCGCTCATCCAGGCGAGGGAGAAGATCCAGTCCTTGTGGCCGTGGCGGTCGCCCAGGCACAGGGGATCCAGCGTTGGCAACCGGTAGATGGCCAGGCTGTTGGGGTTCTCGCCCCCGGTGGCCAGCAGCGTCTTGGAGGGATTCAGCTGGATGGCATGGATGCCGCAGCCCGGCTGGGCGCGGGCCGGCGGAGGCCGACGATCTCGCATGAGGGGGATGTGCGTTATGCGGCCCGACTGCACGTCCGCCACGAAGAGCGTGTTGCACTTGGTACCGCACACCACCTGCCTGGCGCTCAGCCACTGCGACGCGAACACTTTGTCGACGGTACCCAAAGACAGCTCGCGCTCCCGCAGCAGCTCTGGCAGCTTCCGCACCGCGAAGCCACGCAGCTCGCTATCGAAGCCCGGGAACCCGGTGCCGCCCCGCGCGCCCACCTCGCGCCCCTTCAGGTAGTCCACCATTGAGCGCCGCACCACCATCCGCCTGGGCTTCTTGGGCGGCTGCGGGCCGTCTGCGTCCACCGCCGCCGAGCCCGGCGACGACGAGCCCGCGGCGGCCTCCGGGGGAGCGGGCGCTTCCCGTTTCCTGTTACCTGGTTCCAGCGGGGCCATGCCGGACGGCGGGCGGGTGGCGGCGTGGGATGACAGGGCTGCGGGCGTGAGCAGCACAGGGCTGGCGAGCCTGGCGAGGAGAGGCGGACGGGCGAGCGGAGCGCGGGCGGCTCGCTGCAGCGAAGGTGGCAGCGACGCAGATCCAGGCGAGGGCGGGAAGTGCGGCTGGCGGCGAGGGCTGCGGGAGCGAAGTCGACGTGGGACGAGGACTACGCGGGGGGCGAGCGCTAGGGGGCGGAGGCGGCGGGAGGGGCGGGAGTGGGGGGCTGGGTAGCCACCTCCGGCTTGGGAGGGGTCGGAAGCGGGGTGGATGGAGCCTCGGGGGAAAATGCACCAAGAACGTGCGCTCCTGGATTCCCGAGGGGGCGGGGGGCGCGCGGAGGAGGCGGAAGGAGCCAGCTGGGGGCTGGTGCGAGGGAAGGCACCTCGCCTGTGAGGTTGGGTGAGATGAGCCTGGGATGTGGTGGGGGCCTTGCTCCAGGACCCCAAGCTGGCCAAGTGCGCCTGTCCTAATCCCCACTAAATAATACGGGGTATTTTGCCACGCATCGGACAGCAGCCAATCAGCCCCTCTGCTGGAACCTAGACAGACTCAACCAAATATATGTGCGTGTGTGTTTGTATCTATGTGCGTGTGTGTTTGTATCTATATTTATTTATTTTCCTCCTCAAATTGAGGTCTGGGCTCCTGCACTGCAGTGGTCTAAAGGATACCTGCAGATCCCCAGAGCCCCACACTCTGGCTAGGGTGATGTCTAAGACACCTTGGTCAGGCACAGCCTTGGGAACCTAGCAGGCTGTGCTCACGTAGAGGACGGAGTGTTCCTTGGAGGTGCCGAATTGCATGGTAACTCAGAACCCGGAAAATGTGGAGAGGACTAGCCAAGGGGAGGGGCAGCTCCCTTCCTGCACTTAGGTGCTGTTCTCAACTCTCAGTTCCAGAGGCCGGTGCTTGGGCATAATCCCCTGGGGCTTTGAGGAGAGGTCCTGCGGAATGGGCAAGATCTTCACAAGCAAACATGGAGATAAAGAGCATTCGGGGTGGAGGCAACAACAAGGACGAATGAGAATATAAATGTCCAGAGCGAAGGCTTATTCTTAGGAGGTGGTTGTTCCATACTTTTCTTGGCCTCATCAGAGCAGCCAGTCCCCTGGCAGGCTCCTACGCAGGCAGGCTCAATTCGTTTAGACAGTTAAAAACATGGCGCCTGGAGGCTGGTGGTTCGTAGCCATTCTGCACAAACACCCCTCCTAACAAAAGTATCAATACACCTGATGCCTGATGCCTGGGGGAGGGGGGATACACGGGGAGATGGATTTGCTTTTCTGACCTATCAGGGGAGCCCGTGGCGGCTACTTTGTTGCTGTTTCCACCTCCCTTCACCTGCCGTGTGTGTTTAGTTTTCATCCTGCTCACCTCACTTCTTTTGCAATGTTAGCTCGAACGCGCAAGTTCCAAGTACAAAACACGGGTCCTTTCCACCACTGTAGTCCAGCTGCTGCATTCCAGTGTTCCCCAACACTCCCCCACACCCCAGTTCTGATTATTTCCCCCATATTACTCATCTCATAGCAACACATGTCCCTTGCATGGGCTGGTGGTGGTGAAAATGAAAACAGGGACTGCTTCATAGAGACAGCTGCGTTTTTGTATCTACAGGTGTGGGTGCGGGGAAAGAACGTTTCAGAAAGAAGTAACCATGTGTGAAATGGCACAGAAAGTGTAGAGAACTGGCTCACAAACTTTTAGTGTACGTGATAATGATAGAGGCAGCTTAATAAATAGACACGTTGTGTTCCTCAGTCCCTAAGTTGTGTACTACTCTTTGCGACCCCCTAGACTGCAGCACACCAGGCTTCTCTGCCCTCCACTGTCTCCCAGAGTTTGCTAAAGTTCATATCCATTGAGTCTGTGCTGCTGCCAACCATCTCATCCTCTGCAGTCCCCTTCTCTTCTTGCCCTCAATCTTTCCCAGCATCAGGCCCTTTTCCAATGAGTCAGCTCTTCATAGCAGGTGGCAAGACTACTAGAACTTCAGCTCAGTTTCAGTCCTTCCAATGAACATTCAGGGTTGATTTCCTTTAGGATTGACTGGTTTGATCTCCTTGCTCTCAAGAGTCTTCTCTAGCACCGCAGTTCAAAAACATCAACTCTTTGGTGCTCTCTTCTTTATGGGCCAACTGTCACATCCATACCTGAGTACTGGAAAAACCATAGCTTTGACTAGATGGACCTTTGTTGGCAAAGTAATGTCTCTGCTTTTTAATATGCTATCTAGGTTGGTCATAGCTTTCCTTCCAAGGAGCAAGAGTCTTTTAATTTCATGGCTGCAGTCACCGCCTGCAGTGGTTTTGGAGCTCAAGAAAATAAAATCTGTCACTATTTCTAGTTTTTCTTCTTTTAGTTGCCATGAAGTGATGGGACCAGATGCCATGATCTTAGTTTTTTGAATGCTGAGTTTCAAACCAGCCTTTTCACTCTCATCAAGAGGCACTTTAGTCCTCTTCACTTTCTGCCATTAGAGTGGTATCATGTGCATATCTGAGGTTGTTGATATTTCTTCCCTCCCTCCTTCCATCTCCCCACTTCCCTCCCTCCCTTGATTCCAGCTTGTGATTTATCCAGCCCAGCATTTTGCATGATCTATTCTGCATATAAGTGAAATAAACAGGGTGACAATATACAGTCTTGTCATAACTCGTTTTCCAATTTGGAGCCAGTCCATTGTTGCATGTCCAGTTCTAGCTGTTGCTTCTTGACCTACATACAGGTTTCTCAGGAGACAGGTAAAGTGGTCTGGTAACTCCCATCTCTTTAAGAATTTTCTACAGTTTGTTATGATCTATGCAGTAAAGGCTTTAGTGTAGTCAATGAAGCAGTAGTAGAAGCTCCTTTGCTTTCTCCATGATCCAACAAATGTTGGCAATTTGATCTCTGGTTCCTCTGCCTCTTCGAAATCCAGCTTGTACATCCGGAAGTTCTCGGTTCATGTCCTACTGAAGCCTAGCTTGGGGAGTTTTGAGCATTACCTTGCTAGCATATGAAATGAGCACAGTTGTGTGGAAGTTTGAACATTCTTTGACATGGCACTTCTTTGGGATTGGAATGAAAACTGACCTTTTCTAGTCCTGTGGCCACTGATGAGTTTTCCAAATTTGCTGACATATTAAGCGTAACATTTAAACAGTATTGTCTGTTAAGATTTTAAATAGCTCAGCTGGAATTCCGTCCCCTCCACTAGCTTCCTTTATAGTAATGCTAAATACATTAATCAAAAGACAAAGATTGGCAGAATGAATTAAAAAGAAAACATGATTCAAAAATATGATTTCTATAAGTAACTCCCTTCAAATATGACATCAATAGATTGAAAATAAAAAGATAGAAAAATAATACAAGCATTAATCATAAAAATTAGGAGAAGCTATATTAACATCAGAAAAAGTAAACTTCAGTGTTGAGAAAATTACTAAAGACAAAGTCATTATATAATGCTAGAAGGATCAATCCACAAAGAAGGCATTACAATCCTAAATTTGTAAGTGCCAAACAAGAGCGACTCCATGATTAAGTTGGATTTACTCCAGGTATGCAAGTCTGGTTTGACATCTGAAAATCTGTACAAACCAACGTGTCAAAAGTACAAAAAACCATATAATCATATCAACTGACAGAAAAAACAGTTGACCAAATCCAACTCCCATTCATGATAAAAACTTTCAGCAAACTTAGAATAGAAAAGAACTTCTTCAACTTAGTAAAGAACATTTATAAAAACCTACAGCAAGCATCCTATTGAAAGGTGAGAAGCTAGATGCTTTACCTCTAAGAAAAGAAACAAGGCAAGGGTTTCTGGTTTCACCGCTTTAATCCAGTATAGTATTAGAATTTCTACCCAGTTTAATAAGGCAAGATAAATAAAAGTCCTAAAAATAGAAAATAAGTAAATAAATGTGTTCCTATTTGCAGATGAAATGATTGTGTATGTAGAAAGTCTTAAGGAATCTACAAGAAGAAATTCCTAGAACTGATAATTGAATTCAGCAAGGTTGTAGGATTCTCAGAATTCGGTTATATTTATATATACCAACAACTAACATTTAACAACCAAAATTAAGAACAAAATACCATTTAAAATCATACAGATAAAATGAAATATTTACATATAAACATCAAAATATGTATAGGATGTATGGTTAAAAAGACAAAATATTAATGCATGAAATCAGTTAAGATACATGATATGTTTATATTTTTGAAGACGCAACATTGTACAGATGTCAATACTGCAGAAACTTATCTGTACTTGTAATGCAATTTCTATCAAAATCTCAGCAAGGTATTTTTGGATACATAAACAAACTTGTTCTAAAATCTATATGGAAAGGCACAGTCCCTATAAAGCAATCTTGAATACAAGAGAAAAGTAAGAGGATCACTACATATCTACAGTAATCAAGATAGTATGATATTAGCAGAACTATAGACACAGCAAACGGAACAAAGAACACAGAAATACACACACCAAATATGTTAATGCATGTTGTTTCCAGACTTTGGCTCTATTTATAATAGCCAAAGTCTGGAAACAACATGGATTAGATATTGCCCTTCATTAGATGGATGGTTAAAAAAACTGTAGTACATCTATATCATGGATGATGACTCAGCAGTACAAAAAGAATAGACTACTGATACATGCTCTAACTTGAATGAATCTTTTTTAGAAGTTGAATTTTATATTGAAAAAAAAAATAGATATTTTTATGTGGTTCAGAATAAGGGAACAATGAACAGTGTTTAGGTGAAAGAGGTTTAGTTTTTTAACTTTTTATTTTGTATTGGAGTACAGCTGATTAACAATGTTGTGATAGTTTCAGGCAGACAGCAAAGGACTCAACCATACATATACATGTAAAGGAAGAATCTTGAGGGAATTATATTGGATGAAGAAAACAAATGTCAGAAGGTTAAAAACCTTCCATTTGCATAACATTTT